AGCGCGTTGCTTAGGAGACGGGCCTGGAGGTGCCGACCGGGCCCAGGAGCGACCCGGGCCCCCCTCGGAGCCCCCCTCCGGACCCGGGAGCATCCCCAGGTCCCCTTCAGCGCCTACGGCCCTGGTTGTCAGGGTCAAGGCTATCTCTACCGCACCCCTTCGGGCTTCTGGGCCCTCTCTTAGGCCCTGGTAGCCTCTTGGGGCTCTCTCTTCAGGTCCTCAGATCCAGCCTGAGGCCAGCCCATGCAGGCTTCTATTTTTCTTGTCTGTCCCTATCCCTGGGCTTTGGTGACTTGAACACAGTCCTTGGTGATGGCTTTGCATTGGCCACTTGAGTTTGTGGCTGTGCATGGGATTTGGGTGATGCCTGTGCAACCACTGTGTTGTGCTATGGCAGGGAAGTGTGTGGTCTCAGTTGGTGTGCCTCTGTGGTAAAGGTATTAGTTTTATCTTGTGCTGTGACTTTAGTGTGCTAAGGCTCCTGCTATCGAAGGGAAACAAGTAATCCATAAAAACCTTACTCATTATGTTGTGTGTCTCTCACCTTGGGTCAATTGCCCTGATCTCTCTTAAGAGGTGGGTGGCCTCAGCATCAGACCAAGCCTAGTTTGCTGCAGTGTTTGCCAGGACATGGAAAAACCTTCATGTAACATTGAGTGACTTAAACGCTTGGTGTTCACAACTGAAGAGTATTTTTTCATCCTACTGGCAGGAAGAATTAACTCTGTCCTTCATCAAAGATAGCCTTGAGAAGAGTGACCAGCTCACAAAGAACATGGTAAGTTGGCCCTTGAAATTCATCCCTAATTCTGGGCCCGGGTTTACTCTTTATTAGCAGAAACTGTATTGAAGGCTGTTACTGTGCCCATCTGGGAGTGCAAAGTAATGAACCACTTGCTTTGCATCTGTGTTTTGCACTTCATTGCCTGGGAAAAGGGCAGAACTAATCATAGAATCACAGAATAGTTTGGGTTGGAAAGGACCTTAAGATCATCCAGTTCCAATCCCCTGCCATGGGCAGGGACACCACACACTAGAGCAGGTTGCCCAAGACACCATCCAGCGTGGCCTTGAACACTGCCAGGGATGGGGCCTTTACCACTTGCCACTTGATGAATGTTTCAGTCCTAATTTGATGAGGGCTCAAATGAGCTGTTGACTTCATCTCTTTATGATCTGTCTCCTCTTGGGAAGAGGTATTAATAGACCTCAGACTAGTTTGTGCAATAGCATCATGTTGTTGCTTCATAAAGTCAGCTCTTGTTTGGGGTTTTATTTTGAGAGTGTTCTGTTTAAGAGGTAGAAAGTAATTATTGTGGTCTAATGGCTTGTTAGCCCCCTGCTACTACACTGCGTCCAGTTTTGGGCTCAGTGCTATAAGAAATTCATAAAGGTGTCACTAGAGAAGTGTAGGAAATACAATATAAGAGTGAATCTTGAAGGAATTGCATTTTGGCCTACGAGAGATGACAGTAAGGCACCTTTATGAGCTTACTATGGTTTAGAAGCAATATCACAATCCCTTTTAAGAAACAAATGTCTGTGATGGATAAGAAGGTTTTTGCTGTACTGGTCCTGTGCCTTCATGTTGTGCATCTCATGTGGGTCATAGTGGTACAGAGCCAAGTGGCTGCTGGTTTACGTTGTTGTCCTTTTTACCAAGTGCAGCTCCAGGCTGTTCCTGTGGCTCTTTGTGCTGTCAAATGAAATTTTGCTCCTCCTTAGGATCTCCTGAAAAGTTATCTTCACACTTTGCAAACATACAAGATTGGTACCTTTCTGTATGGCAGGCGATCTCTTTTGTGATTATGAATTGAAATTAGGACATAGAGGGATTAAAGAGCCAACCTAAGGAGAAATCAATAGCAGAGCCCAAAAAGAGACACTGGGACCTGGAGGTCCCTGTTTGCCTTGCTGTAACTACTACCCTACGATATGGATCCATGTGGAAGGATGTCCTCAGGTCTTTTGCTTTCTTGGTGTTGTAGGTTGCTATCCTCTCCTCCTTTGAAAGTCGTTTGATGAAGCTGGAGAACTCCATCATCCCAGTCTATAAACAGACAGAGAACCTGCAGCGCTTGCAGGAGAATGTGGAGAAGACCCTGTCCTGCTTGGATCATGTCATCAGTTACTACCATGTGGCTAAGGACACAGAGAAGATCATAAAGGAAGGGTGAGCTGAGCATGTAGATCTTGCTGGGGAGCTTCATCCTCTTGAACTTTCAGGATGGAGGTAGGGGAGCTGATTCCACACACTCATCAGAGGATTCCTTGTCCTACCATCAGACCACAGTGAAGCTGCTTGACTTGACCTTCAGCAATCCCCAGAGGGCAAAGTCTGCTTAGGCTCGGCACTGGTGTCTCTTCCAGATTTAGCAGACATGCTGCTATATGAAATTCATTAGCATTGGTGCCTTCTTTCTTTTCCTCAGCCATTTTCCCAAAGGTTCTTCCTGCATTGCTGATGTTGTCACTGCATCCAGTTCTGGAGCCTGCTTTCAGTCTTTGGGAAGGTGTTGTGATGGCCCTGGGGTGGGAGAAGGCAAAGCTGAGAGTTGTGTGCTGCTCAGTCATCAGTACCTCTGCACTTGCTGCATGGATTGGATATTCGCTGTGGCATTGAGTGGAGGCAAAAGGGAATCCCATGATGATCTCCTGCTTGAAGAAAAGGGGATTGAAATGTTCCTTGTTATTTTTATCTTGAGTTTGCTTTGGTGCTTTCTTAATAACTTCATTCTTTGCTTCTTGGGGCACTGCTTTTAGTTTTGGTTTTATTTTCAGCCCCACTGGGAGGCTGGAGGAATACTTGAATTGCATGGACAAAATCCAGAAGGCAGTGGAATATTTCCAGGACAACAATCCTGACAGCCCGGAGCTGAACCGTGTGGTAGGTCATGGGTTTGGAACCTTGTGTGGGTGAGATAGGGACAGATGTAGCCCTACTGCTCAGCCGCATGCTGTGAGAAGCTCTCAGCCTTGCCGCTGGTGAGGAAGGTGTTTGGGCACAGCTGAATAAATGCTTGGTTTGGGGTCTGATGAAGTCTACACTTGGCAGTATTTCTGCTTCTAGGGTTCTGCTCTCTATATGCATTGCACCAGTAGAACTTCTGAAAGCATATCATAGAATCCTAGAATGGTTTTGGTTTAGAAAGGACCTTAAGATCACCCAGTTCCAACCCCCTGCCATGGGCAAGGACACCTTCCACTAGAGCAGGTTGCTCCAAGCCCCTGTGTCCA